TTTTCAGATTACCGACTATTAAAAGTGAAACTTTTCAGTAAATTTTTAATATGGATAAAATTGGTCATCGTTATGTCATTCTTGAATATTTTTATTTGAAAGTTTTTAGTCCAGTCGGTATCAAAAATGAACTATATTCTATACTAGGGGAGTCTGTTCCCTCATATGCAATGATTAAAAATTGGGTAGTGCAGTTTTAATGTGGCCGTACAAGCTGTGAAGATGAATATCGCATTGGTTGACCAAATGAGGTTACCACGCTAGAAACGGTTAATAAAATCCACAAAATTATATTAGACGAGCGTCGATTGAAAGTGCGTAAGTTAGCTGATATAGTAGGCTTATCAAAAAGTGCTGTACATCGAATATTGACCAAAAATTTGGACATGAAAAAGCTTTGCGCAAGATGAGTGCCGCGTTTACTCACAATTTTTGTGTTACTTAATTCTAGGACAGCCCTCGTAGAATTGAAAAAAATATAAAAATTTCAACAACTGGAAATTATAATAGGATATGATGCCCAGCATTGATTATTTTCATCATAGTTTTAGTTAAGTTTCCTGCCTTTAAACGCTAAATACTAGCCAGATTTTTACAAACTGTTATAAGTATATTTATTATTCAAATTGAATTGAATTTACTTAATTAAGTATTTCCGGACAAAAATCATCATATCGCATAGAGAAAAAGTGTCGTGTACAAAGGGAATCGAAAATCTAATTTTCAGTATTATTAATGAAAAAGTAAAATTAAATGATTTTGTTGTTCAAATACTCATTACACCTTCAGGAAAATTATTTAATTTAATTTTTTTTAATCTGCCAAGTATAGAACTTTTGCAATTAAATTTTTTAAATTTAAAATAATTTTCAATTTTTTTACCTTCAAATTTCAAATTACAATTAAAATAATTTTTATTTTATTAAAAAGAAAACTTATAGTTTTAAATTTTCGTCATAATTATTTTTAAATTAAAATTTATAATTCCAATTTTATTTAATTTTTATGAACCTATGAGAATTTATTTTCTGTACATACACATACAATCTTAGTGCATTGATATTTTTTTTTTTCTTTTAATTAAAATGATATTAACACGTACTTCTATATAGTGTATATGTAAATATTGTGATTGTTTTTATACATAATATTAACACAACAAAACGGTATAATAACATTTCTTATAAAAACCAGAGGCGCATTTTATATACCCTAACTCCAACTGAATGTTCAATACGAATCAGTACAAGTTTACTATATGTCATAGTTATTTAGAAATTTCTACGGTTAAAAACACCGCATGGTCAAAAACACAAACCGCTCGCCTATTACTCGAAATGAATTATTTGTGTTATTGAATTCTCAAAATCGCGTTCTATATTCTCACAAAATTTGATTAATCTATGATTATTAAAACCAAAGTTGTTGGCAAATTCATACGTCGCCTTAGTTGAAATGCTAGCTCTGTAGACTTGCAATCATCGCCTAAATCGAGTTAAGAACAGAAAATATGTTATTTTTGTTTCTTCTGACAAATCATTAATGCTCAGATAGGTTCTTATTGCATCTTAAAATTTTTTATACTGAAAGAGTCATTATTGTTCAAGTGTTTTTATGTGGTATTGAATGCGTGATTAAAAAAATAAATTTTTGAAGAATTTACATATGTCACGCTGTATCTGTAACCAATGAATGGTCTAGACTCAACACTTTTCTTAACTCTAAAATAAATTCAATCAATTAGGTTCGGCGAACTAGGTTCCTTGTTTTAATTTAAAAAATTATAACACTTTCATATTAAGATTCAAAATTTGAGACAAATTTATAATTTTCACATGCCTACATTTTTACGATATCATCTACGAAATGAGCCCTAAAATCCGATTCTGTTATATAAACTTTCCGTATTATTTTGAATTCTCTATATAGTAAAATTTTCTCTTCAAATTTATGTTTTTCTTATAATTTCTTTATATTGTTATATAAAAGTAGTTTACAACTACAATTACACCATTATTTTTCTATTAAAAATTAAATAAATTGTATTTTTTCTTATTTTTTTTTTTTGTTATATAAATTTCTAATTCATTTTTATAGTATCTATTATTCCTTATAGTATAATTTAAAAATATCCTTTATTTCATGAGATCAGTCTTCAAAAAAATAAACAAAAACAAAAAATATTAAAAAAGGAAAAAATTATTATTAAAAATAAATTAAAAATAAATTTCATTATAAAATTTTTAATTTTTTTTTATTTTTGTTTTGTTTTTTTTTTTAGAAAACAATGAAGAAAATTACAAGGAGAGCAATATGATGAGTGTCAATCTTTTACAACTAAAATATAAGAAATTTAATTATGTACATGTAAATGTGTATGATTATGTTAAAATTATTTTGGACTAGGTGAATCAAATTTGGGTCTTCATAAAAGTATTAAGAAAGAAGTAGGGTACTAAAAGAATGCCGTATTTCATTATGGAAGACATTTTTGGACATTTCGGAATAAAAATGATATCAAATACTTTGTATTAGACTCGAGTTGAGTAAAAGCGTTCTTGTTGATTTGAAAATTAATTATTTATTTTTAATAATTTTAGATATATCCGGAATTCTGGAATGTGATGGAACGAACAAACTACATTGAGGAATACTGAAAAAGAAAGAAATACAGCAGAATAAAATCAATTCCAGCAAATATTACATAAATTTGAAAATCGAAAATTTAATTCGAACAGCTATAAATCCTGCAAATTTGAAAAATTCGAAGTTGGCAGTTTTTAATCTGAAATTATTTTTAAATTTTGTATTTATTTTTAGGTTTTGGTTGTAATAATTAACGAAAATTAATGGAAAAATTATAAGATTTTGGAAAATGTTCTAGTAATATTGCAAAAATTGGCATTTTATTACTCAATTAAAACAGCATTAATTTTATTAAATAAGAAAATGCAAGAGTAAATATATGAGAACATTTTACCATTTATATTTTATTTTACAATATTTTTAAGAATTTATTTTAAGACCCTATGCAAATTATAAAACTTTTTTATATTAAAAATAACAAATACTTATTTAATAGTGTGTAACAAAAGGGTTAATTTTTAAGACTGGATTTGTAGGTCAAAGGTGGTTAATGGATTTTGCTTTGATAAAAAATTGGATGGTTTCTTGCCTACTTTGAAAAATGTTTAATGGATCAGACAGACAATCATCCAATTCTTATCAAATTCCTATCCGCCCTATAACAAACACCGTTTAATACCTAAATTCTATTGAATTCTAAAACTTATTAGCAAAATTCAAATTGAATCACCTTTTAAAATTTCAAATTTTAAATTTTATTTTTTCTCCTTTTTATTTTTTTTTCAAAAAAAACATTTTAAAATTTTTTCTTCCTTATTTTGATAAGGGAAAATATTGTTTAAACCTTCTGGGAAATTTATTGTAGATGTTCTATTGTTCAACTAATTTTTGATATACACACAAAATATTCATTTCTATTTCTATTATATAATATAGTTATACTAACATACATACATATATGTATATAAAACGTACCATATGTTTGTTTATTATAGTTTGAAAACTCGTACTTAGTATTCTACACTATGTTGTTGTTGGTATAATTTTGATGTAAACCTAGATATTTTACAAAATTTCAATATATTTGTAACTAAAATAAAATATTCTTTTTATTTTATTGTGATAATTATAGAATTTTAGTAAAAAAAAATTGGTTTCAAGAAATTCATAAAAAATTAATTAAAATAATTGGGAAATTAAAATCCTTTCGAACACTAGAAATTCAATTCTTAAACAAAATTTTTTACACTATTTCAATCAGTTTTTTGACCGTGTAGTTATTGTTCGAATTTTTTAATTAAAATTGCATTTGTATATTAATTATAGCATGATACCCCTGAATAGTTATACACAAATTCCAATTTGTTACCAATATTATTCCATACACAAATTTTAACTTAATTTACTGTTGGGAACAGTCTTGTATCATTTGAATATTATGGCAGTATTGTATGGACCGGAATCAAATTCAAGCCCGGATTGTAAATTTCTACACTGTTCCAATTTAATTTTACTAGTTTGTAACGATAAGTCAATTTTCGGTATTACGAATGTCTACATGTTATAGTTGTGTGTATATTCCCGATGAATTTTTCAATATAACTCGTACGTACATCATATAAAATTAATGAATTTGGCTATGACATAAATTTCTGAATCGGATAATTTTTGCATTTTAGAACTTTCCTATTGTATGTTTAGTAATTTTTAAGTCCTATATTTTTATTCCTACATTTTATATATTGCTAAATTAAATAATTTTTCTGAACTTTAGAATACTCTGACACAACACTACACTATTCGTTTCCATATTCCAAAAATTATTAAAATTATTTATTCGTTTTTTTTGTAGTTTAGTTTTAGTAATTTTGTAAATTTGATATTTTCTATTATTATGTAATATTACAATATTATATGTACATACAAACGCATTTATGCATGTAAAATATTGAATATCAGACTTAATTTTTTTTTCTTCAAAAATGCAGAGAATTCGATTGGATTTTTGAAATTCTTTAACTTTTTATTATTTACAAAATTTGTAATCAAAGTGTGTATGTCTTATATTTTTAATTAATTTTACAAAATTAAATTAGTATATAAGCTATGTATAATTATAAAATAAGTACTTATAGTTTGTTAAAAAAAAAAAAAAACAGAAATTCTTCAATTTTCTCCAACGCATTGGTGATTTTTTTTTCTTACAAAATTTTCTGAATAAAATTTCTAACTTTGTATAATTGTAATTATTGTAAATTATGTAAGTATATTGTGTATATATTGTATATTATGTGTAAAATGTGTAATTTTTGTAAATTTTTTTTTTTAAATATTATGTAAGTATATTTATGTTTTTATGTACGAGTGTATATATATGTATATTTTATAATTATTATAAAATGTAAAAATAATTGTTAATTATTAACTTATAATTAAAATAGAAAATAATTTTCATTAAAAATTATACAGCTGTTGGTGGTGGTAATAATGATGAATTTGAATTTCTTAAATATGGATTACCATAAATTGCGCTATATCTTGGATCAATAACAGTTAAACCACCATTACCAGAATTATTTGAACTTAATGTATTTGATGTCGAACCCGATGATGAATATTGATGTTGTATATGTGTATTAATACTATTACTAGTGCTACCATTTGGTGATGAACTAATAATACTACTACCACAACCACCACCATTACTACCGCCACCATTATTACTATTTAAACTACTACCGCCACCTAAACTTGTTGTTACCGTTGTACATGTACTTTGTAAACTTGGTAAACCATTATCTTGTCTTAATATATCAATAACATTACCGGCTCTTGAACCAATTATACTACCAGTTAAACTGCCACCATTCATAAATGTCATTGGTACTAAATTTGTTGTACCATTTATTTGATGATGATGATGATTATGCTGCTGTTGATGTTGTTGTTGTTGTTGTTGTTGTTGATGATAATGTTGATTATGATTATGATTATGTTGTAAACTATTTGTATTACTATTATTACCATTTGAATTTGTTTTAACTGTTGTTACAATACCAATTCCATTATTACAATTAGTACCACCAATTATTTTACCATTACCTAATGTATTTGTTCCAGATGATGATGTATTTGAATTTGTATTTGTATTTGAATTTGTATTTGAATTTTGTATTGTTGTTAAATATTGTGGTGGTGGACTATAATGTGTTGCATAATCAGCATATGGTACATAACCAGCTGATATATCAACTTTTAAATCACTATAATTTGATGTACGATCACCTGGTTCTTTCATACCCATATTACCAATACCAATACCCATACTATTTAATGCTGTCATATTTATATGATTTTGATGATTTAAATGATGATTTAAATGATGATGATGACCACCACTTAATTTATTGATTTGATGTTCACTAATAACATCAGCTTGTGGTAATTCTTTATTCTTTTTACATTTAAAATATATTAATACAATAATAGTTAAAATCATTAATATACCAACTGATGATATACCACCGACTATTGTCATTAATAATGGTACACTTTCTGTAAAATAGGAAAACAATAATTGGGGGCTTTTTTAGTATTAATAACATTGTAAAATATAAATAGTAAAAAATTATGTATATAATAAGGATTTGTAAAAATAATAAAAATTTTAAAGGATATTTGAAATGCGAATATTGTTTAGAAAATTGGACGGCCACATAAATACCGTTATTGCGGTTATGTGGAATAAATTATTCGGTTGAAAATAAAAAACAAAAAAATAGCAGAATTAAAATTTTGTACATTTTTATTACAAAATTATATGTAAAATATTTGTGTTGTAAGCATTTTTCATATGTATGTGTGTATATATAAATTATGTGTAGAATATTAATAATTTTAGAAATATTGCACTTAAAGTGAAAATTTTGTTCCGGTACAATGTAAAATTAGTTGTTTACATAAAATGCCTTAAAAGGAAAAATAATTTAGAATAATTGAAAAATTGGTACTTGTGCATTCTACAGTAATGTAGAGCACTTAAAATTTAAGCACCTATATATAGGTTTATTTGTTGTAACATTTAATATTTGTAAAAATAAACATGTTAGTAAGGCAAAATTACTTAAATTTAGAATATTATTAGTCCCGAATTGTAAAAATTTAAAATCTCTTTGAAAAATTTTATTGAATTTAATTTAAAATCAAATTTATAGAAATATCGAAAAAAAATAATGTGGTAATGTAGTAAGGAGTGTTTCGTTATGAGAGAATTATACATTTGCAGTGTAAGGGCTCTTTAATGCTTAATAGTAAAATAGTTGCGGCCACATCTAAGCAACTATACGCTATTGCGTCAATTCAAATCGATTGTTTTATAAAAAAATTATAAACAGTTTGATTGCTTAATTGTTTGAATTGCTTAATTGTTGGATTGAATATTTTTTTCTTTATTCACTTCCTTAGTGAGCACAGGGCTTCCACATAGCCTCTCAATTTTAATCGGTTGCAAGTTAAATATTTTGATTGTACCCAGATTTGGCCGCTTTCAATGATTTCTTTGTCTATTTTGTTCGACGCGAAGTCATTTTCGGCTTTCCGACTTTACGTTTCTCTTGTGGATTGCCTCAAGATTCCCTAATGCTTGACGTGATATCGCAGCCTGTATGGAATATAAACCTATGGGGTACAAATAAGTAGTAAAACTAAAAATTGAATGTTTACTTGAGCCCTTATATGTATATCTTTAAAACTTGCGTTTTGTAGTAGTTAAAGGAGCTAAAAATTATTTTATGCGTTCATAATGCGTTCTTTGTTTGTTCATTATTATTTATTTTTTTCTTACATTTTCATAATTACGTTTGTCAACGTTATCATTTAGGGTGGTCTTAATTCAATAATATTGTTTCAATATTTCCCGTTATACATAAGTAATTAATAAGTTACTTGAATAATATTATTTTATATTATTTTCTTAGAGTTCAATAATATTAGAGGTTGTTAACTCTTATATCTTGTCGTTTCTTTTTTATGAAAATTATTAATTATTGTAGCTTAAGCATATAATTAAGTTACAAACATAATTACTTATATGCACAACAGTTATAAAATTAAAAAAATTTTTTTTTTTGCTTTAAAAAACAATTAAAATCCAACCAATATAACTATATATAAATGTAAATGTATGTATGTAAATTAGAATCTTGTTAAAGATTTTAATAGAAAATCATTAATACTTAAGTATGAATTTTGCTTTTTTGAAAATTTATAAGAACTCATCTAATATAATTAAGGTATAATATGTAGGTATTTATTTATCTTAGAGGATCATTTTATATGAATTGAAGTAAAACAAAGAAGTTGAAAAAAAAATAATGTTGAACTATTTATTAGGCGCATTCTTTTATACAATTTTTCCAGTTTTCTTCGCTTCCAAATTACTGCACTTATCCAGCTATATAACAAGAGAAAAAAAAAGATAGTACTACAATGTAAAATTCTAATTTAAATGTTATGTCATTCCCACAAATCTAACATATAATATTAAAATTAACTTGATATTTTATGTAAATTTTAACGTCCTCAGGTTTCTGCGATCCTGTTTAATTCTTTTCGAATCAATATAAAACTATGATATCATTTTAAATACCACAACCGCACTATTTATATTTGTATAAAATGTCTTTGTTCTTTTTTTTTTTTATTTTATTTCATGATACAAGGAATTTCTCAATATGCATAATTTCTTTAAAATGCGTTATGCTCTATATAATAATCATTAATTTTTATGCGTGTGTGTGTGTGTGAATGTACGTATGTACATTTTTATTGTAAGTATTTTTGTTGCAGTAGGTATATGTCCAGAAAATTGTAGCAATTTTCAATAGCATTTTAAAATTTTGCATTAAGTTTTGTTTTATATACGTTTAAATGGAATTGCTCTAATAAATTTTATATGTATACGCTCCGTTGTGGATATTTTTAGCTTTATAAGTCTGTCCATTCTTTTTCATCTTGTTTTCTCTTATTATTATAAAATTGATTACAGGTTTTTTTTTTTATTGTACGCATACGATATATGTGTATATATGTTTGTATATGGCTATTTTCATTACATACATTTTAAATCTTAAAAATTATATCATTTCAATCTTTAAGAACTTTAAGAATATTTTGTTCTTTATTTTAATAATTTTGTTATACTTGATACACTCTTGAATATTTATCATTCAATTGCGAAAAAAATAAAACTGGTTTATAGGTTAATTTAATAGATAATTGAAGAAAATAAGTAAAAAAAAAAAATTGAAGCAAATCAAGGGTTTATAAAATAGCACATTTCCTTTCGGAAATTTTTGTTATTTAAAAGTTCTTTTAGAATAATATGAAATAAGGGTTCTATTTATATTATTCTCTTAATATTGCGATATTTGGCCTTATTGCATAACAACCAATTAGGTCATTTAAGTAACCATATTTTTTGAGAGGCAACATATTTACCGTTATAATTTTTAGTGCTTGCAAGAAAGAGAAAAATAAAAATGACTATACTAATAATTTATGTCTACCCTTTGTTATCACGCCATATTTCCCGAATTACCCATAAAAATTATTAAAATTTTAAATAAAAGTGTTCAGAATGACTATTATTTTAAAGAGCCATTTTGTACTACTGAAGTTTTTCAATGCTTTATTTTATATTAGAAATAAAAATTTTCATATTCTATGAACTAATCACGGTGGTGGTTTTGGTTTAAATAATAAGTTTTCCAGAAATAACGCGTTTAATAACAGATGGATGGATACGGGTTGCGGGAAAAGGGGGAATAGTTAAAAATATTCTTCTTTATAAAAATTTATTTATGTACGAAATTAAAATACAAAGTTTTGTAAACAGACGTACGCTCATATAACCAGACAGACTGAAAATAATCATTTTTCTAAAATTTTATTGAAAATATGCTAAGATGGCAGGACAGTATAATTTGATTGGTTACTGAAGTATAAAGAAAACTTCATATAATTAATTTACAAATTTTTTCTTATTTCTTGTGAAAATTGCAGAAAAATGAAAAAAAAAAAATATCTGGTATATAACAGCTTTGATAATTCAATATAACAGGTGAATCTACTCACATCTCATCTTTATATATATATATACATATATATATATATATATATGATTATTAATTAAAAGAATAAAAAAATTCCAATAGATAAAAATTATTACCAATCTATAATTGGATGAAAGAAAAACAAGTATATTGAATCTTTTTGAATATTAAAAAATTGTTTTGTAAATTTCTTAAAAAAAAAAAAACAAAAATATGATGAGTTACTATCAAAATCTTTATATACTTGTATTATTCTTTGTTACTATCTTTGTATTTGAATTTGAATTATGCATTCCACAATGTTATATTTAAAATATTTCTTTAGCAAAGCATACTGCTTTGGTATTGAGTTCTTTTACAATATTGTTTGTGCATTATCACAACCTGTTTTATATTTTTATTTTAAAATTCTTTGATAAGATTCAATTAAATACAATCATAATATAAAACACACTTGATGTTCATAGAATAATTATAAATATTATGTATGGTAGCACCTTATTATTTAATACCGAATATATGTTGGGCACACAATACAAAATGCATTATTACAGGATAAGAATAAATAAATAGTAAAAAATTTTTATTAAATCATGTAATTTAAAAAAAAAAAATTTCAAAAACCTAGCATTTTCCGAAAAAAAAAACAATATTATTTAGTTTTAATTTCAGTTCAATAATCCACATGATGTGGCAATCAATAAGTGATTTGTTATTAAGCCGCTATTATATTTAAGTATTTCAAGTTTAATTTAAGATTTCTCAGTAATTATGTAATAATAAATTGTTAGGTAATATTAAAAAACTATTTTTTAAAGCATAAACCTTTTATTAAATAATTTATTGAAATGATTTCATTTAAAGTGAAAAGTCTCCGGTGGTCACAACAAAATCTATTAGTGCGTATATCGTAAATTTTCTAAAAGATATTTATGAAAATTTCAGTAATTCAACCTTTATTATTACAAAAATATTGTGCAAGCTCGAGAATTACTTAAAATTTTAACAAAGTTGTTAAATTTTTAGTTGAGACACAATGTCATTGCTAAGAACTGACGTATTCCATGAGGCTTTTCAAATTCTCATACTCCCGAATAATATTGTTTAACTTTTTATAGCTTTAATTTTTCTTTATCAATTGAGTGGAGCCTGAGACTCAGGAATGCGCATATGATTATATTATAGAGCTTTTTTCTAAAATTCTTCATTTTCATCAAGTACCTATCGTATTCAATTTTGCTTGATACTACTGATATTGATGGTGTACAATTCAAATAGAGTTAAACTCCTAATGGAATTTTATATTAAAATATTTGACATGATTGACTACCTTTATTTTTATTGCAAATATGACCATTTGTTAAAACATTCATTTCTAAAATTCGATTAAAAATTTTAATTGAAATGCAATAATTTACAAGAAATTAATTAAATCATGTTATCGGGTTTAATTAGAATTAGAGAAAGAAATTATCAATAAATTTTGATTTATTGCTTGTAATAAAAATAATTAAAATTGTATCGAAAAAATTGGAATATGAACGAAATTCTGCTATTAAATTCTATGGTTCTGGAAAAAAAGAACGTTTGCACGAAATTTTCAACTAAATTATGGTGTTAATTGGATCTTATTTTAATTCGCATTTAAATATCCAAAATTCCTAATACAATTAATTTTATTTTTTTATTTTTGTGTTTTCAATTATTTGTTAAATAAAAATGTTAAAATTTTTAACTTACTTTGAGCTTGTAATTGTATTTCAGCAATATCATTACCATAATCATTAACAATTGTACAATTATATTTTCCATAATGATATGATTGACTATCACGTATTATTAATGTTGATCTAACACCACCCGGTACAGTATCACTTAATATTGAATAATCACTTGAACCACCTGATTCATTATTTATTTCATGTCCATTAAATGTCCATGATACATGACGGGCTTTTGGTACACTTATTGCATAACATTCAATACGTGCTGTATCACCAATTAAACCATATTGAAAACGATTTGATGTTATTATTGGTGATCCTTTAACATAAACTGATGCATCTGATTGTATATCTGGATAACCTGGTATACTTGCTTTACAATAATATCTACCAGCTGTTTCATTTGTAACAATAAATGTTAAATTTGGTGTTACACCAACAACCTGTAATAATTTTGAAAAGAAAAACAAAAATTATAAAATTTTGTATTTATATTTATATTGTTGAAAAATTTTATGAAATTATTGAAAAGAGGCTATTAAATTCTATAGTTGTAGGGCTTGTTTTTGTGAGCTGATAACAATATTGTGTGATTTCTACTGAATGCATTCTATAAATTCAACGATTCATTAACAAATAATATTAAAGAAGATTAATTATTTGATATTACACTTAAGCCAATTAATTTTTTTCCAGAATGATAAGGTTTATACTTCTTCTATGGTCTCACACTAAATTCATAATGGCTAATCAAAATCTTTGTAACTCAATTTCTTCTAAACAGGATTGAATATAATTTTTTTTTTAAAAATCATTCCAGAATTTTTTAATTTCATTTGTAAACTTCAATTAAAACATTGTCATACCCCTATCAACTTTAATTTATTATATGCAAAATATGCATATTGGCCAATATTCAAACTAAATCAAATAATTTAAATGAATTTAGAAAAATGATATCAGATGCAAATAAATTTCGTAAATTTACCCATCTAAAACCCCAAAAAAAAATTTATTATTTATTCTCCATAGACACACACACCGTAAACACAAACTTTCAATACTTAATCCTTTCTTTCAATTATATTTCCTTTCATTCTTACATATAAGAAATAAAATATTTTTGTTTCTAATGTAATTATGTGTATTAGCACTCTATAGAACTGTAGGTACCTAGTTTTTATATCCTTTTAGTTACAAAAGAAATCTTTTTGTATATTATATAAAAAGTAATCCAATGAAAAACAAATAATATAATAACATTAAAGAATTTTATCATATTTACATTTTATGCATATATATACATTCACACATCTTCAAAATAATGATAAGTATGTTAACACATTTAAATACAAAACACTTCTAAACGACACACATTCATATACACATGAATAAAATAGTACTCAATATTATTCTTACCCTATCAATTGGATGCTGTATCCATACAATATCAGGTTGTGGATTTCCATCAACTTCACAATTCAATGATACAGTAGTACCAATATCTGCTTCAACTGATTGTGGCCTTTGTTTAAATTGTGGTCCATCTGGTGGCAAATAAATATAAAATCATAAAATACAAAAAAAAAAAAGAGAAAAATTGAAATTTTATTAACATTGAATCCGAATATAAAAATGTTGGTACAACATAAAAATGTCAGTTACTTATTTATTTATATTAAAGTATGTATGTATATAGTCATTATATATATATATACAAATTTTTATATTAAATCAATATATATTACATTATGAGAGTAAAATTGAGTAGATTAAACTACAATATAGAAAAATAAAAAGAGGCTTCAAAACAAAAACAAAAACAAATTTTAAATATAGTAATGACAGATAAAAGAATTATTTATTAAGAGAGAGTGAGAGAGAGAGAGAGAGAAAGGATCAATAGAAAAAAGGCATTCATGTACAAAAAGAATAAAAGAAAAGAGATAAAAACATAAAAAGAAAAATATAAAAATTAAAATAAAATATTTGAAATAAATAAAAAATAAAAGAAGACAATGAAAATCAATGAAAAGTTATAAAATTGTATGAAAAGAGAGGATTTTAAAATAAAAGGGTTAAAGTTTTATTGCGGTTTACTTTTTCTTAACTCATTTTTTATTATTTTTTAAAGGATTCTCGAAAAAAACAAAATAAATCTAACTAACATTATTATTTTAAGAATGTTAAACAATAAAATGAAGAATTTTTTTTTTGCTTTTCGAACCTCATCTTGTTTGAGGTTATTTTAATGCATGAATATTTGAGATTTGGGCCATAAACTTGTTATATTCTTTATGTGTAGAGTATAGATCAAATTTTAGATAAACAAATAAAAATTATTATCATCCCAGGACCTTTTAAAATGTTAATAACAAGAACAATAAAATTTAAATGGTTCTAGTTGATTAAATGTCAGGCAAATCTATAATGATGCTCTAAATGTTTGATAATACAGTTTGTATGACATACAAAAATTTATTTAACAATAAATTTTATCCGGTTTAAATTATTTAATTTTAATGGGCAATTCGGTCAATTAATTGATAAATAAGTTGGTATTATTAATATAATAAATTATAAATCATACATATCAGTTTAACAAGTATGATTGAAAATTTTTAAAATCATACTTATATGTTAGGAGTAATTTTGTTAATGTGCCTTTATATTTTTATTTTATAGCGTTATTTTTAATAATTTATTATTGCATTGGTTTTGATGTTATAAATAAGAAGCATTTGAATGAATTGCAATGGCTTCAAATGGTTTAAGTGTACATAACAGCGCAGAGAGACAAAGTTTGAGAATCTCTCTTCTTTATATAGAAAATATGATTTCTACTAATATAAATTATTCTTTTTATTCATATAATATTTTCTCTTTTTTATTTATTACATTTTTTATATGAAAAGAAAGTAAAAATAATTTTGTTTTGAGAAAATAGAATTTTAAAGTAGAATTTCGTTTGTTTCTCTGTTTGCTTATTAACTTAATTTTATGTAAGGGAACTTCCATTCAAACATTTATCTTTCATATAAAACGAGAGTGTAATAAAAATAAAATAATAGAAGAAAGAGAATTAAAGAATTGATATCAAATAAAAGACAATTTTACAACTATTTTAAGTATTATTGGATGAATAAATCCTTAAAAGGAGAAAGTACGAGTAATAAATTATTTTTCACTTTCTGTTTTTTTGTTTGTTTGATTTTTATTTTGGACATGTTTATAGTATGAATATATTATAATTGATTATTTCTAATAGAATTTTATTTGAATTTAATAATGTAGATTGGGTATAGAGCACTAAAATTCACTGAGGTTGTTTGGAAATATCTGTGTTATTGGTTCGAAATCTATATACATATTGTAGGAGATTCAAACAAGATGTATGATAAGAATTCAAGAAAAAATATTTAATTTAGAATGTTTTTTATTTGATTTAAAAATTTTATCTATTGGATTTAAAAGTTTCATTATCCTGTTTTAGCTCTAAGTGTTATATATAATTAAATTCATGATAAACTACTTAAGGTATGAATTCTTCTCGTATGACTGAAGGTTTCTGGTATGAATACTTTTCGTATGAATGAAAATTAAACAATTATTTTTCTTATTTCTTATTTGCAATATGTTGAAATCTTAATTCCAAATCAATTTTATAGGAAACTAAATACGATTTTTCAGCATTTCTATTTCAACAGGAAATTCAGCATGGTAAATGACATCTATCAAGCATGTTTCTTTAAAATACTCCTAAAAATATGCAATTTTCTCGATTTTACAAAATATTAATGAATGAAAGACCATTGCAAAAACTTTTAATTCATGTTGGTTTTTCTTTTTCTTTTGCTTTAAAATTAAAAATTTTCAAAAACTTAAAAATCATATTAAAGTAGAAAATAAAAAATTCGATTTTGATTTTATCCGCCCCTGCAATTAATATTCTTTTTATCTTATATTATTTAATTAGAATCATATACATATATAAGAAGGGCAATTTTGAAGCAATTAAAATAAATTAAGGTTTTTTGATTATATCTTAAAGAGGATAATTTTGTAAATTTTTCCATAGAATAAAATATTACAAATTTCTCTACATGTCCTGAGCAGTGATTACGGTTGAAAGAAAATTTGTTTTTCTTTTGTTTTTAGAAAAATTTTACCCAATTTATTTGTTTTTCTTTCTTTTTTTGCAATTTTTCTCTTGTGTTCACATACATATATGTATAAAAGAATAATAATGTATGAACAATACTTGAAATAATGAAAATAATCAAGTTAAAAGTTTTTTATTTAAAATTTTTGTTTTTGTAAATTTTAAGGATAATAAAATACGTTTTATATTTTTCAAATCATGTTACAATTGAAGTGTAACAAAATAAAATTATTTTTTTTTTTTTTGAGTGTATGTATGATTATACAATATTGTATTAGATAGTGTGTATGATAACAACTTTAAAATAACAATTTACAATAAAAATTATTTGAAAATTCAGTGATACATGATAATTGAATTAAATTAGTTAAGAAAATGAAAAATGGAAAAAAACTTTTTTTTTAAATTTATAATATGTGATAAATTCAAAATAAATTTCTCAGAAATTCTTTAAAAAATTAAACTAATTCAAGAACATTTTTATAACTTTTATATCTCACATATTTTGTCGACATTAATGGAATTTTTTTATGTAAAGCAAATAACAACAAATTTTTTATTAGGGTGTCTCGCATAATGAAAGAAATAATGTCAGAGATGATTCTTTGATCAATTTCCCCTATAAAATTGTATGAGTCCTAAGAAGGTAGAAAATATACTCATTTTTAAACTACTGCATATTGCTAATGCTTATAACTTCAGAACCATGCGACATAGAGTAATTATCGGTGGCTTGTTTAACAGGCAATTGATCGTATCTTTTTTTTTAACAGACTATAGCTCGAAAACGAGTATAGCCTCACCCCACAAAATGTTTTGCTAAAATTTGATCAAAAAGAAAAAGTCCCTTAAAATATTTTGTGCCTTATCCAAAACACCCTGTATATATGAAATCTTAAAAAATTTTGATATTTTTAGAACTAAAAATTAAAAATTTTAGAAAAATTTATATTGCCTGTTGAATTTTAAAACTTATAATATAAGCACTATAACTTATTGGCTATTCTCTGTAAATGAAAATTCATTTCACTGTTTTAAAATCATTTCTACTCTTATATTAAGAAGGAAATATCAATTTTTACACAATAACATTGCTTATAATTTGATTTGTGTAATTCTAATATGATTGAATAAACTGTCTTTAGGTTAGTTTAGGTTAGCGTTTCCCTTCGAAGTGCACACACAGGTCACGAATTTCATTGTATCGAAGAGAAATCCTCGATACCGGATCAATGTAATTTGAAAATGATTCCGGTACATGTAATAATCATAAGTTGTTAATAATTCAACTAATTCAACTGCACTATAATATAATTACAGATTGAATATTACAAAGCTCTTGTTTTCGTTAAGATTCATTGTTCTATATGTTTCATAATTGAGTTTGTATAACAATATTAAATTTCATCGCAGATTTTGTTCATAAGATTTGGGGAAATTTCATAAATTATTATAAAAATACTTTCATTCTTTATAAAAATTAGAATTATTCTTTTCGAAAATAAGTATAAGAATGCTGTAGTTTCAATTTGGTTTTAGTGTTCAGTAGGTATCCATCGAATTATAAAATTCCTGGTAAAGAAATGATAGGAAATATTTTTATAATTTAAATGTTGTGAGGCTTTTTCTAGTACTTTTTGTTGCTAGTTTTCCTTTTCATTCTCAACATGATCGAATTATATGCACTTATAATAAAATCACCCGAATTTCAATGGCTGTCGCTTTCCCTCCAGACTTTTATTAACCAATCGATTATATTTAAAATTTTCTTCACAAACTTTAAAATAAATAACTACTTTAAGTAATTATTATAATTTTTTTTTTATAAATTTTCTGATAAGATTTAAAAAATTTTCCCTTTTCATTCAATATTCTCTTCTGTACATAATTTGTTCCAATTTTTGGTCTTTATAAAGACAAAATTCCGATTAAAAGCTCATTGTTCTAAAACACTTTACTTTTCAAATTGTCGCTTTAAATTTTTACTTTTAATACTTTATCACTTTCACATCTTTTTTCAGAAAAGTTAAAAAAAAATTTTTTTAACCAAAAATAAAAACAAAAATAAAATTTTGTTTTTTGTTAGAAATAAATTGCTCAAATTATAATCTAATAAATACAGAAGTTACCTTGGAAACACAGAAAAGTAATGATAATTAACCTTAATTAATCTTTAAAAGTAAATAAATATTATACAGTATAACAAAAAAAAAACAAAAGGAAAGAAAGACTTGGTATACTTAATTTAGTTGAAAACTTTTAAGACAAAACAAAAAAGTTAAAATTCAAAGTAATTTCAACAATTTTTTTAACTACATACATACAAACATACTATACAAGTCTATATTTAAATTATATTGTTATACAAAACATATTTATATACTCGATATAACTTACAGGTAACATCTAAAGTTTCACTATCTTCACTTTTCCCAATTGAATTCTGTACTTCACATTTAACAATGGCATCATGAAATTTTCGTGTAACATTTCTTATCACCTGTTTCAAAAATAAAAAAAAGCCAGAATAAGAAAAAAATTTCAAGGTAAGAAAAAACAAAAAAAAAAAAAACATTAAAAGTATGTAAATAAAAATAATAATGGTAGCTGTATACATAAGAATATACGAGTAGTAAGGAATAACAAAAGAATAAAAAGTTAAACCACAAATAAATCTCAAGAGTAAATAGAAAAGTGTAAATCTAAGAAAATCTAGAAAGCAAGAAAAAAACATTTTCTTTGTTTTTATTATTTTTGTTTTAACTATTATATTATTAGGTATATGATTGTATTACAGTAAGATCTCGATAATTCGAATGTCATTCTGTAGTAGCCTTGGTTTGTATATGAAGCTAAGGTGAAATCAAAATATCTTCTATATGAAATTGAAATAAATTTGGAAAATTTTATTAGATAACCCTTTTCAAGCTCTTTAATAAACTGAAATCACTTAAAATCATTTCAAACTGGAGCAATGTTTAGAATTACATCGAAATCAATAGTTTTGCTAATGATTACTTTGTTTCATCATACATTTTGTATGATCTTGGTGTTATACCAAGGGAATGTAAGAATTATGTGTGTAAAATTAAAATCGATCAAAATTAATTATTTTTTTTAAATAAATAATTATTATTATTTTACTCTATCATGCAATTTGTTTGATCATACTTCATGCGATCATACCATACAAAATTTGTTATATACACTCTTATTAAAATGTTAAAATGTGTATGATATCAAATTATTACCTTACGTGGAATACATTATTATACGATGGGAATGAATGATATACGATGTACGCATGTTTGTCATGCGTTATGTTTTGTATCATACATTTGCATCATACCAAACTATCATACATTCTTATTACATGTATTAACAAATTTAATATTTTAAATTGCGGATATTAGTACCCTAATTTAAAACAACTTTTCTGAATTACCAAATGATTCTCAACCCACATTAGTTTTTATGCTTAATAACTCTGCAATAAAGAACTTTTTATCGAGAATATACTGTATAAATTCACAATAATTGCTCTCATTTTAAAGTTTCTCCATTAAAAATTTATTTTTTGTAGAATCTGATTACTTTCAACTTAAAATTTATAAATATTAAAGTTGGAAAAAAAATATTCATTGAAAATAGGTGAAAATTTAAAATGGGAAAGAACATTTTTTCTCATTGAAATTTTTCCTACGCAGTTAAAAATTAAATTTAAATTAAAAGAAGAAAAAAGAAAAATTAAATTTTTTTTCTAAATCTAGCGCAATAAAATTCCGCATTTTCTTTTTCTTTTAAAAATTTTTCTGCTTCTCTATTTTAAATTTTTCTTTTTCGCATATTTCTTACCATTTCCGTTTTATGGCCTCCAATAATTGGTTCATCATTGATGAACCAACGATATTTTAAATCAGATGGATTGGCATCCGCTTTACATTCAAGTCGCACCTGCGCAAATTCTGGTAAACGTCCTCCAGCTAAAGCACCACTTATAACATTTACTTTAACTTTGGGTGCATATTTTACCTATACGATATTATTTAAAGGAAAGAAAACCCAATTAAAATAAATAAAATTTTTAAAGTAAAATAAAAATAAAATAAATAAATAAAATTTATGAGAAATAAAAAAAAAAAATTGTTTTTGTGTAAAAGAAGAAAAGTAAGTTTTCTATTTGAATTAAAGCAGAAAATCAATAATATTTTTAAAAATTAGAAATAAATTTTCTTAGAAAACAAAATAATTGCATATACATAGAAAACTTTTCTCAATTTCGAAGTTAATGAACGTACACGCGGAAAGTCTCTTTGAATAATGTTGGCGATCTACTGTTAAAAACTAGATTGTACGCGAACTTTACAATGAAAATGGGGAAAATAGGAAATTAGATTCTATTCAAATTAAGAATTATTAATCATAAATTTCAAAGGTGAAGCTAAAATTAAAAAGGAGTTGCCGTTGAAAATTTCCAAACTAACAAAGGGTTTATTTTAGTTCTAATTCCCATTTACAAGTTAGTTAAGGCTTAACTCTTAAAGCTTAAGAGTTTATTGTTCGTAAAATTGAATTTGTTCTTTAAAACCCAAGATTGGACATTATTGATTGCTATTTTACAAAATGTTTTCGAAAACGGTAACACTTGAAATTGAAATCTTAATAAATTCTGATTAAAAACATTTTCATTCGTAAATTCAATAATTTAGTTTTCTAATTTCAATTGGGGCTGTACAAATGCACAGAAGCAGCAATTTTTTTTTTTGCTTTAAAAAGCAGTTTATTTGATTTGTGACTTCTGTCAATTAAAAAATTTTTATTTTGAAAATCGCCATGGTCAACATAAAAATAAAAAAGAAAACTTTTTCTTATAAAAAAAATTCACCGGAAATAAAGAAAATTCACTTGAACTAGCTTACGTAGAACAGGAAAAAAAAACATTGGAATAACTATGGCATCGTTTGCAATTTAATTTCTTTTTCTTCTTAACAAACTTAGAATTTTTTAATTTATTTTATGCGTGAGCGGAAAATTTATTAAATCCTGTTACAAAGAGGTTGTAAAAGGTTGCAAATTAAAAATAGCTGTCTAGGCGAATCGACTCAGCTTTATTTGCCATTTCACAGGGAGGCGACTGGTGTCTGAAGAGTACTATCGTGGCATCGATCGGTGCTTTTTTTAAAAATAAAATATTGAATGCTTAATTTTTTAAATTTCGAATGAAATGTAGGAGAAGGTGCTCGAATGAATCACTTAATACGTAGTCGAGACCAATATTTTTCTATATTCTACTTTTGATTCAAAAGAGAAACGATTATAAATTATACAAAACCACTGAAATTGGAATATTGTCAGAGAAATAGAAAATTAATACTAACCTCAATATGAATTTTAACAGATCTATATGTACGATCAGCTGTATTTTGAGCTTGACATGTAAAATTTGTATTATGATGTTCTTGTTTCGGTACTAAATGTAATATTGATTTTGCTGTAAAACGTCTCATATCTTGTAATGATTGTACACTATATTCAATATTATCTGTTATCACATTACCATAACCATCAATCCATGTTATCTATATATACATTAAATTCAAAAATTTTAAATTAAACTTAATAAGATTTTATAAAAAAAAAAAAAACAACTTACCTCAGCTGCTGGTTTACCACCAACAGAAATACATTCAATTTCTGTTTTACGATCTTCTGTTAATAAAATTTTATCACCTTGCAAAATTTTTGGATTTTCTGGTGGTACCAATATTGTTAATGTAGCAAAATTTGATCTTATCGCTGGATTATTATGTCCTCCACCACTTACTTGACATTGATATCTTGCATCATCATCTAACATAACTGGATATATATCTAATGAATAATCACCTTCTTCATCGCTACCAATCATTGAATAACGTTCAAAACCACTTAAATTACGATGTGTACCTAAACCAAAATCATCTTTTGTCCATTGTAACAAACCTTGTTTATTAATAACACGACATGGTAATGTAACACGTGAACCAACAACAGCTGTTTGATCTTGTGGTTCCATTGCAAAACGTTGTTGATGAAAATTATATTGTGTTGCACCAGATGATGATGATGATGATGATCCAGTATTGTCATCATTTAATCCTTGTGTTAATAACATTGCTATCGGTAAATTATTATTATGATGATGATTATGATTTTTATTATTATTATTATTTATAATACTGGTACTAGCTGATAATGGGCTTGCATTTATTTGAGGCACATTACTATTACTGTTACTATGACTATTTATATTACTACTAAAACTACTTGATATACTACTGCCATGATAATTATTATTATGATAATAATGTTTACCATTTGTATATTGAAATAGTGTCATTAATGTAATAACAAAAATTATATATGTTGAATATAAATTTATTATATAATTTGGACGTATTATTATATTATTAAATAATAATTGTTTTGATGTTACGCTTCCAGCCATATTGCTCCTCCTTCTTCTTCTTCTTAATAAATTTATTATATTATAGTTATATTTCAATTTTGTATTCATATTTGTTGTATAAAATAATAATTATAAAGTATAACAGTTATTAAAATTTGTTTTGAAGTCGTTATTTTAAAGTGTTATGTTGTTGATTGATCAAATTGAGTGTTTTCTGATTTTAAATTTTTAGAAAATCTCCTGTTTTATTTTACTTTCACATTTAAATTGGTATACGTGTAAGCAATGAATTTTGAAATCGCCTGAAAGAAAAATATAAAATTAAAATGATTATTTAATACTTAAATAAATTCTCATGTTTTTTTGAAATATAAAGGATTTAATCGAAATTTGTTAATAATTTACGATTAAATTGTTGTTATGTTAAATTTAAGTTGTTCGTAATATTGAAGAAAATCTTACAAAAACATGAAAATTGGATTTGATAATATTGGGTTTCTTGATAGTATTCAGTTTTTTGTATTATAGCAGTTTGCGGTTCATGTTGTTTCTAAGTTTTTTCTGATACTAAAGACGAAAACAGTATTGAGCAGCAAATTTACAGGGCGAAAATTTATCGTGCTTTTAAGAATCCTGTGCAATCACTTTTAACTTTTAAACTCTTTGTCTTTAAAATTTTTGACCTCATCTTATATAAAGTTTTTATTTATACTCACTTTATTAAAAATAATTAAAAATTCCTAAAGATTTTTCTTATTTCTACTAAACTACAGTAGACCAATAAATTTTAAATCTGATGAAAAGTTTAAAAGAAAAGATAGGAAAATAAGCTCCACAAAAAAAATTCAAGTGGCATTTTACTTTTTAGCACATTTTCAATAAATTTGAAAATAATTTTGATTATATTTTATCTGTACCTTTTTTCGTGTTACATGTAGCATAGAAAGGTTTATTTTTAAATAAAAAAATGTGGCAGTCAGAAAATTATTTCGCTGGAAGAAAAATTTTTACCATCATGTAGACAAATTTTAATCTACGGCAATTTGTTTCGACAATAAGTTTCGGCAATTTAAAAATTTTTTCAAATTTCAATGTAAGTCAGAAACCAGCAGTAGACATTTGTCGTTTTATTAGCCATATACCGTTATCAGATACGAATTATGGAATCAATGCTTCCCTCATTAATATTTTCATCCCAAAAATATGCAACACGACGATTCATTATTATTGTGGGAAAACATTTTTTTTTTCAATAAAGAGTTTGTAAACAAAATATTTAAGGAAAATGTGCTGCTTAATAAAGCATTGATTTAATTTCACTTATAGTTTATTTTTATTAAATTTTTTTGAATGAACATTTTCGGTATGTGAAAATTTTCGTAAAAAAAAAAAATTTCTTTTTTTTTTGAAATATTCCTAAAGCATAAAAACCAAAATAAAGTTTTCATTTCTTGTTACATTTTAATTTTTGAATAAAAGAATGAAAAGTTTTAAGTTTATTGTTATTTTTTGTTTTTACTTTTGCCTTAAAATTCTTTAGAGTTCAAAATTGGTATAAAAAATGGCTCAACCTAATAGCTAAAATGTACTTATATTTCTGGTTCATAAAATAAACAAGCTAACGATATTTGAAATGACATTATTAAATTCTTTTTTACGATTATTATCGTTCGCATATTAGCAGTATTCAAAACTCAAATTCTGTGACTAAGAATGTTGTATTCCGAATTAATTTTCTATAAGGCGATCGTCGACTCTCTCTTGTGCAGAATTTGTGGAAACGGTCACGAGACCGACGTGTACATTCTCTGCGACTGCCTAGTACTCTTTTACATATCTCTCTTGGATATCTCCAGTTTTATACTGAGAACGGAGATATTATAGACCGTAGGATTGGAAGGCTAAAATAAGTCGCGAATGTCTGCGGTGGCCTGGAGGATATGTCTTCTTATTCCACTCGGTTCCGTTGAAATCTACCGAATCTACCGAATAGGGCGATCTTCGATAAAGAAAATTCAAAATTATTAAGAATTTTTTAAACAAGTTCTTATAGTTAACAAGATCAAGTATTTTTTTTGTTTATTTTTTTGTTGTCTTTGAAATTGAATGCATAAAAACAAGATTTTTTTTAAAATTTTTTTTTTCTCTCTCTGTCTCTTTCTCTCCTTCTATCTCTTTATATTTATTTTCTGTTTCAAAACACTATTTTAGAAGTTGGCATTGTTCCTCTGTTGCTTTTTATTTATATCCTTTTTTTTTGTTACTTTTCTTGTTTGTTTTTCCTTTTTTATATTGGTGCATCCAATGCAAGTAAGTATTAAGATTTTTATAAGGACATTAACTCTTTTTCGGTGCAATAAAAACAGGATGGTAAAATTTAGTTAAGAATTTGTTTTTATAGCTTTTTATCTTCATTTTGTTCTTGTTTCTTTTTTTAGTTATCTCATCTCTTTCTTTGCTACTGGTTGTTGAAGCAATTGTCGGATTCATTTTTGAATATTATGCATATAGCAAAATATATAGAAGAATATTGTTAATGGAAAGAAGATGAAAATTTATTTTGATGTAAAAAATGTTGATCCTGTTTCTTTTTTGTTCAGACATAAAATGCATATATTTAGGTACATACATACATAGGTACACAAAGTAGCCATATAAAGTATAAGGGTAAGAAACGAGGAAAAAATGAGAAATAAAAAACAAAAATAAGGACGACTTTTTATAAAAAACTTTAATAATATAAGAGAAACAAAATAGTAAATAAAACTAACGGTACTATGGTAAGTAAAACAACTGTACTTTATTTTCATGAAAATTTTGTTAAAACAGTAAAGGAAAGAAAAAATTATAATAATAAAAATTGCATGTACTTATATAAAATTTTTGCATTTTCTTTAAAAAAAACTTTTCGATCCTTGGCATTTCATGGTAATTTTGAAGATTTTTAAGTATTGGATTAATGTTATAACATAAAGAAATTAAATGAGTCCTCATAATATTTATATTTGCAGTTCAGAAATGAGGTACAGAAATTGATAAGTCAGTCATTTGTCAAAAGAATAAAACGCAAAGGATTTAAGTAACTAAATTGTAGCTTAGATATCGAATCTCGACAAAATTAGTTTCCACTCAATTACAGAAATATGACCGTACTTTAAAATAGAGGGGGAAGACTCCTCAAAATTAGTAAACAAATATGGATAAGAATAGTCTTAAACTTGGTATCATGTAGGTCGACAAAAACAATACCAATTTGAAAACTGCCATCTATTATTTTCCCTAAATAAATTTGAATTAGTTTAAGACTTACAAAGGCATAAATCGTCTACTATGCTAATATGCAGACAAGAAGTGTCAAAAAATTTCTTCTTTAATTAAAACGAAAAAATTGACATCAAAAGTAACAGACGAATTGAGTGTCAATTAAACTGCCTAAATATCAGCCATAAACAAAAAGAGGAACAATATGCCACTGTCAAAAACAGAAAAAGAAAGAATAGAGTTGACCTTGTCAACTCTGCGATACCCGTACGAATTTCTTATCCTATGTGCGAATAAATATGCCATAACTGACTATGGGACAGACTATGACTTTAAGTTGTCGTATTACCATATTAATTTATGCAAAATTTCAGTACTGTGTTTTTCAAAATACTGTGTGTGCCCAACTACTATTGAAGTTGTATGGCAGCTACCAGAAAGAGCCAAGAAATTTTAATGACTTTTATCAAACACATCGGCCCTACTAACATATTTGCTTGCGTGAGATTTCAATGCCACAGTTTTTATAGTTTCTGAGATATAATTGTAGGGCAGGTACCAGAAGCAGCCAATACTGAATGAAGCCAAGTAAAGAATTTTATGAGATACGTACGTACGGGTATAAAAATGTGCAAACTTGTCAAACTTCATCGAAGAAGGAAGATTATCCGACCTCCATTTAGTTTCGGCAAAATTTGTAATCCACAAAGGAACAGATTGTATATGCCGAATTCAGCAGGGCATCAAAGAAGGAAGACTCCTGTCAATAACAAATCAATATGCTTTCGTTTATTTTGAATACTTTACTAACTTGGCAGCAATCCGCCATTTTGTATCGGGAATAGCTGCATTTCGTCTGCTTTAATTTGTAAAAAAATAATACTGCCGTGTTAAAATTTGGTAAAAAAAAAAAAAACAAAAAACTTGTCAGAATTGTAAAAAAAATCTAAATGATGTAGAGGAGAAAAAAAGTTTATTACTTTTTTTATAAAATTAACTAAAAAGAAGTTTTCGTTGTATTTTTGTTGTTTTTTTTTCTCGCTAATATTTTCGACGCTTGTGGGAATATATACGGTAAGTTTAAATTTTCTTCTACACAAGGGAACACCTTTAAAATTTATTTTGTTTGCAATAAGATTTGTGTCTTTTGTTCTTTTCTCTCTTTTCATTCTTTTAGCTACTCATATTATGTTTACAGATGATTTTCATACACCTCTTATGTAACATAAATGTAAAAACATTTGAAATAATTTTATTTATGGTAAAATTTTGGTAACATTTCTAAGAAAAAAAAAAAAATTTTAAACCGTGAAAATTTTCTAAATAAAATTAAGGTTCTTTATATAAAATAATTTCAAAATTTTTTATTTGAGTGAACTTGAAATATTTTTTTTTTTTTGTTCAAAATTTTATTTAATTTTTAGTGAGATTTATCAGATTGTCGAAATTTTCTGTTTACTTTAGTGTACTTTAATATTGTTTACTTTAGTGTACTTTAATATTGTTAATTACAAATTCAAATACGGAAAATTTAGATATTGTTCTATCTCAATTTAGTACGAATTCGACTTAGAGGGTTTTGCTTTATTGCCGCAAGTTTATTGCTATCAAAGTGTTCGTTTCGACTAAAAATCGTGTTCTCTTTTCGACTAAAATTAATAATTAAGCTTAATCTTTATAACAATAATTCAAAAAATTTACGATCCTTATATAGATCAATTTTATCATTATAAAATTTGAATGAATTTTTAATTACAGGGTTATAAGCGCAGACAGATTTTATGAGAACAAAACCAATTCAATATTAATTTTAAATTTAGTATTGCGGCGCCACCAAATAACGGAAAGATTTATTTTTAACTCTCCTCCACGTTATTTAAAGCACCGCCTGCTCTTAAAAAATAATTTAAGATTTAAATGTCGGTATTCTATGTAATCTATACAGTATTGCCGTATTTTTGAAAATCTCGCAAAATTGCTTTTGCAATTGACAGACAACAAGTGTTTACGCTTTACTGTTAAAAAAAATCTTTGTTACTTC